AATCGGAATGGATGGGAAGCCCAAGCTTAAGCTTTCAATAAAGGCTCTTTACTTTTGCATACGAACTGGGACTCCTGATGATTTCTGGGGGGGGCTCATGACATTTTCCATCCTCAACTAGCCGAAGACAGACCTGAGAACTGCTTCTCTGAGTGACAGAGGAGTATTTTAGGATTTGACCTGGTGGCCAAGGCTGAGTCAGCATTTCCAGGTCTCTCCACTGTTTGAGGATTAGAGCAATGCAGGGTAAATCCCTTCAGCATTCTGGCTCTGCGGGGAGGGGGGCAGCGGCTAAAGGTGTGGCCCTCTCCACTGATGGCAGCTTAAGGAGCCTGTAGTTAAGGTGAGCAAGTGAGCCCGTCTCCAGGAAGAGTTCCGGGGGTGGTTCTCGGTCCAGGGAGGGGTTCCGGGACATGAGTTTTCTGGAATATGCTGCTGCCCAATACAGCTCAAGCTTATCCCAAAAGGGGTTGCGACTTCTCTACTCCTAAAATCATCCTCTATACACCCTTAGTGTCCTTCCTCCTAGGCCCTTTTCTAGATGTTGTTCCTTGGGTCCTGAGTCACTTTCTTTCCCAGATTCTTGCTTTTGCCCTTTTCTTGGACCCCAGAAGTGGTTGAAAGCCTCAATTTAAGACTATCGTCTTTTTTTTTTCTATTGGGTGGGGTGCTGAGGTTGCTTATTAACACAGACTGCTACGTGAGTTTGACTCCTCCCGATACATAATCCAGCTTGCTTGTCTTTGATGGAGCTCTTCCCCTGCGGGTTCCACCACCTTGTAACTCGTCACTGTTTCACTCCGCTCCCCCTGCTCTCTCTGCCTCCAACTAAGGGCATGGCTGTCCAGGCTTTGATCAGAGTTCGTTTCAGGAGCCACAGACTTAAGGTGTTGGAAACGTGCCTGAAGTTTGTCGTGTCTGCAGATGAAACTTACGGGATTACTTTGATGTCTTCTTTGCCGTGCAGGATGTAGTCGATGACCTTGTAGAAGTTAATTTCCTGGCAAAAGAGGAAAGTTACACACGGAGTGAGGGCGGAGCTTCAGCAGAAGTGTACCATGAAACTAGACCGATTCTTTCTTCTCCATTCCCTTTTTTTGTTTTGTTGTTTTAAACAGGGCAAAGAGCACACAAAGTTTACCCATGCCTAAGACATGGCACCCATCCCCTGTCCTTCACTGTCATCTGCCCCTGTTTTTCAGGGGCACCAAGCGTGCTCCTAGCTCCCTCTAAGGTCAACTCTGCTGCCTTCCAGCGCTCACTGTTCTTAGCTGACCCTCAAAGAAGGTCATAGGAGGTCACAGACCTCCATAGAACCGGCTGACAGATGGCTCCATGCCTCTTGCTCTCCATGGAAAATTCTATTATCTTATCAGGTCATTTTTTATGCCTGAGAGTGAGGGGCTGCTTAGCAACCATGTCATAGATGAGGACTGAGATGCAGGAGAAGGACGGACCACTGTATAGTGAGACAATGTAATGAGCCAGCACCGGAGCCTGGGCCCTTGATCTCTAGCTCAGAGACCCTTCCACTATATGGCACTGCGATCTCTATCTCTGTTGCCTGGGACACAGTTACTCAGACAATGACCACTGGATGGTTGCAAACCTGCAAACTAGTTGTTACTGAATCAGACACTTGGCTGCATTTATTAAGAAGCATTGACTCCACACTCGTGTCTCTCCCTCAGCTACTAGACCTCTTTCCATTTGCAAAAAAATAGTGTGATGAGCTGAAACACAGGAGTCTGGATAATTTGTTTGTTTGGGTTGTGTATGTGTGTGCGTGTGTGGAGGGGGTGCGCACATGTCTGTGCTGGCAGGTGCATGAACCTCTGCGGGTGTGGGAAGGCCAGCAGAGGGTGTTCAGTATCTTCCTCCACCACTTGCCGCCTTATATGCCTTTGAGGCATGGTGGCCCCACCAGCAAGCCCAAAAGAGCCTCTTTTCCCTCTGCCTACCCTCCCCATCATGGTTTCATAGGAAGTAACCACTGAGCCATTTCTCCAGCCCATTGATTTTGTGTGTGTGTGTGTGTGTGTGTGTGTGTGTGTGTGTGTGTGTGTGTGTATGTGTGTGTGTGTGTGTAGGTAGGTAGGTAGGCATGTGTGTGTAGACTCATGTGCGCACATCACAGCAAAGGTGGAGAGGTCAGAGGATAGCTCGTAGGATTTGATTCTTTCTTCTCATGATCTGGGACCCAGAGATCAAACTCAGATCATTGAGCTTGGTGACACGTGCTATTTATTATCTGCTGAGCCATCTTACCAGCTCTGTTGGTAAGTTTTTGTTTTTTGGTTTTGTTTTGTTTTGTTTGTTTGCTTTTTTTGAGACAAGAATCCATGGAGTCCTTTCTAACTAGCCTCAAACTTGGTATGCAGCCAAGGTTGACCTTACACGTCTGATCTTCTTGCCTTGGCCTCCCAAATGCTAAAATTACAGGCATACACCAAATAGAATTACAGGCATGCACCAAATGCTAGAATTACAGGCATGCACCACATGCTAGAATTACAGGCATGCACCACATGCTAGAATTACAGGCATGCACCTAATGCTAGAATTACAGGCATGCACCACATGCTAGAATTACAGGCATGCACCACCACCTGGCTCAGGAATCTGGATCTTGAATCTGACTCCCAAAGAAAAACTACAGAAGGCTCTCACTCTCTACCAGTCAAAGAAATGGAGCTGCAGACAAAGAACTGTGGGATGGTCTGTATGGCAAATGTGTTGCTAATTAGTCAATAAATAAAACACTGATTGGCCATTGGCTAGGCAGGAAGTGTAGGCGGGACAAGGAGGAGAACAAAGCTGGGAAGTGGAAGGCTGAGGCAGAGAGACACTGCCAGCCACCACGATGAGAAACAGCATGTGAAGATGCCGGTAAGCCATGAGCCATGTGGCAAGGTATAGATTTATAGAAATGGATTAATTTAAGCTGTAAGAACAGTTAGCAAGAAGCCTGCCACGGCCATGCAGTTTGTAACTAATATAAGTCTCTGTGTTTACTTGGTCGGGTCTGAGCGGCTGTGGGACTGGCAGGTGAGAGAGATTTGTCCTGACTGTGGGCCAGGCAGGAAAACTCTAACTACAAAGAACTCTTCCAGGCCCAGACAGCATGGGAATCCTCCATCCTACAAACTTCATTCTTGTCTCAATATTTGCCATAGCAACAAAAATCTTACTGATGCACGACCCTACCTACGATTTACAGTTGCAAGTGGAGAGTTAGCAGGATGTCTCTAGAACCAAACTGCACATATTCTCTGACTCAGCATTTCCATGTATGGCAATGTATCCTATAGACATGGTCTCAAGGATGCCCGTCACATCCATAAATCTCAGCCACATGACTTTAAAAGGCCTTTTAAGATAAGATTTTGAGCTCCAAACCTCTTCTGTGAGCAAGTCATGTCAGAAGCATAGATTGACGTGCCTATGTCCTTCTATAATGTCAGAATTTATTAAATAACAAGTTCACAACTATATCAATGTCAATGGCTTAAACTCACCAATTACTATTGATCTCACTTGGCATTTGTGGCTTTTGGCAGTCCTGGTTTTTTTTTCAATCCAATCTTAGATACAAATATTAACTCTCAGAGTATGCATTACACTTCACATAGTGGTCTATGTATGAGTGTGTGTGTGTGTGTGTGTGTGTGTGTGTGTGTGTGTGTGTGTGCATGAAAAACATGTTATAGAAGAATTGAGAGCTCAGTACCTGTTGATCCATGACTCATGTACAGGATGGTCTGATGAAGGGCTTGGAGAATGCTGTAGTACCCAGCATTATTTTATTTTATATGATCAAGTACAGAGTTGCATCATTCATTCATTCATTCATTCATTAGTCTCAAGTGTTCAGTGGGCTCACAGGCCTGGTTTTTCTGATACAGTTTTGTTTTGTTTTTGACTTTTTGAGATAGGGACTCTCTATGTAGACTTGGATAGCCTGAAACTCCACTATGTAGAAGACCAGGCTGGTCCTCTGCCTCTGCCTTTGCCTCCAGAGTGTTGGGATCAAAGACATGTATGACCTGGGCTCTCATAATAGTTTTGATGCAAATAACCATATGTTCCTTATTTAATATGATACATTCAGAGGGAGTCATACTTTCTTTGCGTAAATGAGTTATCAGTCTGCCTCGTGGTTGGTGCTGGACAGATGGTGGCTGTTTACTTGCACAAATGACATACAAACCATGCTTCATCAGCACTTGCAGTCGAAGTGGAACCGACTGCTGTTTTATAAGGAGGCATCACTCAGGGCAAGGCACAGCCTGAAGGCACTATTCTCTACACCCAGGAAGAACTTGGAGCACCTGACCACAACTATCCCTGGGAAAGTGATTAAACAAATACAGCCGGCGGCGTCTCCTCCATGCACAGTGGGTTACAGCCCCACCAACCCATTGTAAGCTGAAACACTGAGAAACACTGGGTGTAGCGGCTCATGCCAGTAGTCCTAGCATTTTCAGAGGCTGAGGCAGGAGGACTGTGAGTTCCAGGCCCACTTGAGCTATATTAAGAGACTCTGGGTCAGCTAACTGTGGTGGTCACACCTATAATCCCAGCAGTCAGGAAACAGAGACAAGGGGGGTCACTACAAGTTTGAGGCCAGCCTGGCCTGCATAGTAAGTTCTGGGCTAGCCTGAGCTATAGAGTAAGACCTTGTCCTAAAATAAAAAAGTAAATTAATTAAAAAAAAATCAAAAAAACAAGAAAAGGATATGGAGAGATGGCTCAGTGGTTAAGAGCAACTGCTGCTCTTCCAGAGGACCTAGATTCAATTCCCAGCACCCACATGGCAGCTCACAGCTGTCTGTAACTTCTGTTCCAGGGGATCTGATGCCTTCCTACAAACATACCTTCAGACAAGACACCAATGTACATAAAATAAAAAATAAATAATAAAAAAAAGACAAGAGAAGAAAAGGTTCTCAAACATCGCAGCTGGGCAGCACAGGCCACTGTAGCGTCTAGGAGGTGAGCGAGCACGTGGCCACTGTGGCTGCCGGCGTGGCTGACGTCTAGTGCCAAGTACAGTTGCCATGGGGCTCGTCCGAAAAGTTCCTAGCATGTCTAACAGGTTTGGCTAGTGTGCTGGGTTTTTTATGTTTTCTTCCTCCTGAAGCCTACTGGAGACTCAGAAAAAAAAAGCAGCAAAATAGAACCAGTGTGTTAGGCAAAGCGGCTTTTCCTACACACAGCAGCTCTTGTGTGGCCTTCAAGGGCACATTCATGTACGAATTCACAGATTCTGGAAAACCAAACCACAGGCATCAAGAGCACCTTTGTTACCTTCTGCTGCACAGCCGACACTGTGACAGAAGTCTTTGAAAGAGCCACCAGTCCAGCGGTAGCCAAATAACAGGGCCTGGAAATATGGCAGTTTGATGACAAGTACGTTTTGTTTTTTCCCACGAGGCCTAGTTAGCCTGTACAATTTTTTTCTTACTTTAAACACACACACACACACACACACACACACACACACACACACACACACACACACACGGCATTTTACTTTCTAAAGGAGATGAAATAAGATCTAGTTGGCTGTTAGAAGGCTTTGGACCTAGGATTGAGGGAGGGATGGTTAAAGTCAGACACTGTACTTTTAAAGTGCATTTGAATTCAGCCAATAAAACATGAGTCATAGTAGAAGGTGAAAGGGACCATGAGAAGGCATGTTTGTGGTGACAGTCGCCGTCGAGAAAAGCATCCTGGTCTTAAATTTGTACAAATGATTTGGCCTTTCCAGATCTTTACCTCCTCAACCGCCCAATGGGAAAATAAAAACAACTCGTTTGTAGACATATTAGAAAGAATAAATGGCAGCCGGGCCTGCTGGTGCAAGTCTGTAATTCCAGCTACTTGGGAGTCTGAAGCAAGAGCATTGCAAATTCAAGAATCCCCTAGGCTAAAGGATGAGTTCAAGGCCAGCTTATACAAGCTGTCTCAAAATAAAAGCAATTAAAAAAAATACAAAAGCGCCCGGCAGCGGTGGCACACGCCCTTAATCCCAGCACTCGAGAGGCAGAGCCAGGCAGATCTCTGTGAGTTCGAGGCCATCCTGGTCTACAGAGCAAGATCCAGGACAGGCACCAAACTACACAGAGAAACCCTATCTCGGGGAAAAAAAAAAAAAAAAAAAAAAAAAAAAAAAAAAAAAAAAAGGACCGAGGAAGTGGTAAAACATTTGCCTGGTTTGCATGAGGCCCTGGGTTCAAACCATAGTATCACAAAACCACGCAATTCAGGTACAGAGCCCAGCAGACATGAGGTGCAACCGGCCAGCTCTGGTTTTATACTAGAGTGCCTACTGCATGTCAGTGGGAGGCCCAGCATTAGTGACCTAAGTCCCGTGGACAGGCTGGCCTACCCCAGCATGACAGAATGGGAAGGGGACTTCTGGAAACGTCCCAAGCCCAAAGACTAGCTTGTGTCAGGACTCAAGTGTCTTCCCACTGTACCCACATTCTTAAAAAAAAAAAAAAAAGTCAGTCAGGCATAGTGTCCCATGTCTTTAATCATAGCACTTGGGAGGCAGAGACAGGCAGATCTCTGCAAGTTCAAGGTCAGCCTGGTCTACATAGAGAGTTCCAGGACATTCAGAGTTACATAAAGAAACCCTGTCTCAAAAACCAGTTTTATTACTACTTCTTTACGTATTTTGTGTGTGTGCATGTAGAGGGCATCAGAGGACAAGCTGATGGAGGTATATTCTCTCCTTCCATTGAATGAGTAGTGGCGATCAAACCCTTGTCATCAGGGTTGGCCACAGACATCTTCTCCCACTAAGCCATCTCACTAGCCCCACACCCACCTTCCTTACATGGTCAGGCCCGGCCAATCCTGTGACTGTGTCTGGGCCCAAATCACGCCTGTGTGTGTTTCCTCTAGGTTCGGCTTTGTTAGTGAGTTTAAGGACAGCATCCAGTGAGTGGTCTTTGTGAAATAAGATTTATCTGTGTTTCATTTCCTGGAGAACTTTCTTCTCCTGTGTGCCTTAGTGATGAACACATCTCAATATATCTAGAGTTTTATAGATTTCTGGAATCTCTACAGGCTCTGTTTCCAAGCCTTCAGTGTATCTTTGATTCCAAAACAGTACTTGCCTGAGTCCTGCATGGTTTCACCCAAGTATTGTCTATTCACTTCTTCTCTGGAATGAACTTCAAGGAGAAGAGACTTCAGCACATAACACCATTGTTTGAATCCATATTCTCTACTGTGGGGTATACCAACCAATTCTAACACTTATTAGTATGACTTCTGATCCAGTACATCAGATCCACTTGGTCCAGTTAAAATGGGACCAACCTCATTCACTGTGTGCCCCAGAGATAAAGAGATGCACATCAACAAACCTCTCTCTCTCTCTCTCTCTCTCTCTCTCTCTCTCTCTCTCTCTCATACAAGGGATTAAACCTAGGACCTCACATGTGCTAGGTAAGCATTCTACCATCGAGCTATCTCTCCAGCCCTCATGTTACTTTTCTATTTTAAAATAGAATTCTATGCTGCCCAGGAGCCGTGAACTTATACTGCAACCCAGACAACCTTGAACTTTTATGATCCTCTTGCCTCAGACTTAACTTGCATTGCCATTTTGGTTTTGTTTGTTTTGAGACGGTCTCACAGCATAGTCCAGGCTGGCCTAGAATTTACTATGTAGCCCAGGGTGGACTTGATCTGGACAGTGATCCTCCTGTCTCAGCCTCTGCATTGCTGGGAGTGTAGGAGTGAGCCACTATACCTGGGTTTTGTTGTTGTTTGTTTGTTTTCCCATTCTTTTTTTTTAAGATTTATATATTTTTTGATGTGCACTGGTGTTTTGCCCGTATATACTCTGTGTGATGGTGTCAGCTCCCCTGGAACTGAAGTTACCAACAGTTGGGAGCTGCCACATCAGCGCTGGGAATTAAACCCGGGTCCTCTGGAAGAGCAGCCACTGTTCTTAACCACTGACTGAGCCATCTCTCCAGCCCACTGTTTCCCATTCTTAAATGAACAACAACATAAAGTTGACTCGTCTTTTCCAAGGCTGCGCTTTGGGATATCTGTGGGTTTGTGCAGGGATTCTCTTTGTGTCTTTGTAGTGTTCTAGAAGGTACACACTGCCCACTCAACCACCCCTGAAAGGAGCGCTGTCAGAGCCACTACATGGAACTTCCGGGCACACATACAGTGGGACCCTCACTGATTCGGAAATTCAGAGTCAATGCTGACTTTTCCTTCCCTCTTTGGAGCAAACAAAACATTTGCAGGTATAACCTGGTTATATGACACCCTGGGACCCTGCGTTATAGAGGGGTGGGGGCCAAACAGGAGCACCCAGCCAGAAGTATATAAGAAGCCTGAGTGGTGTGGACTGTGGCTAACTGGGTAGCTCCTGGCACTCTCCAAGGATGGAGCTCTTACATAGCTCCAATTAGATCTATCCTGTGGGCTGCTAGGTCCCATCTGACTGACCTTCAACCTTTTCAAAGTCAACTGAGAGATCATTATGAAAAAAAAAAAACAACCAAAACTGACTGTCACTATAAACCAGTCCAGTTTTGGTAAGTACCAACAAGCGAGAACTGGAATGCATGCAGCTAACAAGCGTATCAAGTAGTTAGGACCGGGCTCTGGCCACAAAGCTGACATTCTGGATCAGATGTGAAGCCTCTTTCTAGTTCCAAACTGGTTCTAACTTCCTGCTGGGAAGATACTTGAGCCAGCCACATGACATCTCTTAACATATTCTTGTCTGCAGAAGGTGGGTATCGATTGCTGCCTCATCTGCTCCTCCAGGTCCCTTCGAAACTCCAGCAAGATATTTAACATTTGCAAGTGACAGGGTTGGAAAGTTGTGATGAATTACCATAATATAGGAAAGACAGACTAATATCTGAAGATAAATACAAATGATAAATAAGTATCCTTCAGCAGACTCTGCCAAGCCTTACATATGGGAAAAAAAAATCACAAAGCAACTTACCCTTCCATCTGGAGTCCTCGGACCTGAGTAGGCTGGAGCCTCGCCCATCAGAACTGGCCACACATCAAAAAATTCCTAGGAATAAATAATAATAATAATAATAATAATAATAATAATAATTACATGTTTTTAAAGCGAAGTCCAACCTATATGAGTTGTCTACCACTGAAGTTTGAAGGCAGAAAGATCACTGAAACTTGAGCTTGGCTGGAAGGACAAAGTCAGAGAACAGTCATATTTGTTAAATATTGATGAACAGGATCTGTCTAATCAGTCAAAATGCGGATAATGAGATGGGGTGTCCCCAGTGTTGTAGATGCTAGTCAGGGAAATGAGGTCTTGGGGCTGAGGAAATCAATAGCTCAGGAGGTAAAAGCGTTTGCCCTGCAAGTGTGGGGACTTGAGTTCGAATCCTTAGCTACCCAGGTCCGTAGCACATTCTGTATACTGTCGATGCTCTGAGGGCAACATGAAAGGTGGAGGCAGGGGGATTCCCAGAAGCTCTCCACCCCGTCCCGTGCAACAGCAAACAGTAAGAGACCCTGTCTCAGTCAACCTGGCAGGAGAGGACGGGCCCCTGAAGATGTCCCCTGCCTCCACGAGTGGTGGCATGTGCACACCCCACTCACATGGAAACGTACATAAACCACACACACACACACACACACACACACACACACACACACACTACTTTTTTAAAAAGTGGGATCCCTATGGAAAACAATCCAAGCATCTGGAATAGAGTTAATAGAGCAAAGAGGCCACAGCTGTATAATCATGTAGCGGTTGTGTCTCTGCCAATCAGAAAGGCGTCATGACAACAGCTGTGGTGAGTGTTCTGGTGGATGCTCCACCTCAACTCCCCTCCCTCACCTCTCTCTCCCCAAACCTGCCCCCTCAAAGCCCACCAAACAGAAGCCTCTCCCCTAGAGCCGCCCTCCCATTCCAGACCCCCGCCCCCTTGAAGCCCATCAAAAGCCAGTCCCTCCCTGGAGCTGCTCAAGACCACGACTACAGGTTACTTTTAAGGCCTGGTAGTCATATTTGCCGTGTGACTCTCCCCTGCCTTCCCAAGGGTCACCCAGGATTGCTTTGCTCTGTTCATTAAACCTGGATTTATTAATTCGGCTTGATTGATTTATTACATTGGCAGGGGCAGCGGATGCCCAGCAACTGGGGATTCAAAACTTATCCATGAGGTCTCAAAATACATCACACAATGCCACTGTCAACTCCAGAAACACTGTTTTTAACTGTTAAAGTGTTGTGGGGAAAAAAAATCCAAAAGACCCTAAAAGCCATCAAGTGCAATCAGCAGGCACTCACCTGAGCCTGACTTTGTATTTGGCCTCCTGTACTACAATACATGACCCTTCATAACAAACAAAGGCTGGTACTGGAGCTCAGAAGTAAAGCATTTGATCAGCATGGGCAAGGCCCTAGGCTCCATCCCCAGCTCTGGAGTAATAACCTAAGAGACATGTTTTTATGACATTAAATTTTAGGCGATCACAGACAGACAGCCGATCAGATCACACCTAGATCAGACAAACGTGTAACTGCAGCCAATCAAGTTGTTCCTGTTCTTTACTCCGTTCGACCCAGAAGAGCTCACTGCTCATGCTGTAAGCAGCGCCCTTGGTGGCTTCCTGTCTGGGTGCTTCACGAATCACCCGTTACTGAACTTATTTTGTCTTAAGTTTTCCTTTGACCATGGTCCCAGATGCAAGAGAAAGACAGATAAAAGAGGGTTGGGGATGGAGCTCAGATGATAGACTGCTTGCCTAGCAGGCCTAAAACCCTGGCTTCCAACCCCAGCACTACATAAAGTGAGTGTGGAAGCACTTGCCTGGAATCCCAACACTTAGGGGGTAGAGATGGGAAGATCAGGAGTTCAAAACTATCCTTGACTACATAGCAAGCCCAAGAAACCTTATTTTTCTTTTCTTTTTTTTTGGGGGGGGTGGGCGGTTGTTGAGACAGGGTTTCTCTGTGTAGCTTTGGAACCTTTCCTGGAACTCACTCTGTAGCCCAGGCTGGCTCGAACTCAGAGATCTGCCTGCCTCTACCTCCCAAGTGCTGTGCACCACCGCCCAGCCCGAGACATTGTTACAAGAAAGAAAGGGGGGTGGGGAAGAACCCAGAAAGAAGGCTTCTCCCAGGAGGAGAAGCCGCTAGGGCTGGCTACCCAGGTTTCCGCCTGTGGCTTGTGGCTTCTCTGCCACTATTCTTTGCCTGCAGAGGGGCAAAGGTTGTGTTAGGTCAAAGTCTCTGCCTGCAGAGAAGGTCTTCCTGGTCCAGAGCTCCCTCTGATCACTGAGCTGTTAACACTTGGGGACAAACAGTGACGTGTCAGCCCTGCATTGCTGTGTGTAGCTGCCACCCCCTCTGCCTCGTTGTTCCTTTGAGCACACTTAATCCTGGTGGTTTGCTCATGCTAATGTCACCCAGAGGACAAACAGAAGGGAGGTCACATGAAGTTCAGATGCTACGCCCTCGGCATGCTTTCCAGCTGGACTCTTTTCCTAGATTTCTGACAAAAGAAAGAAACTCTGGTCTGGGTGACCATGTGAACTGGGGACCTACCAGGGCCCCATGTCATGTTTGCCACTTGTTTATGATGCATACGGCACAGCACAGGGCCTAGAATGGGGATTCTCAACCTATGGGTCGCGACCCCATCGCCAGCCCTCTATCTCCAAAAACATTTACATTATGGTTTATAGCAGTAGCAAAATTAGAGTTATGAAGTAGGAAGAAATAATTTTATGGTTGGGGGCTCACCACAACATGAGGAACTGTATTAAAGGGTTGCAGCATTAGGAAGGTTGAGAACCACCGCCCTAGAAGAACTTAATGTTTCATGAAGAAGATAAGCAATAGCAGGTAGAGGAAAATAAATACTCACTTTGAAGTCCCTAAGTATGACAGGGTGGAGAGTACAGAGAGAAACGACAAGAAATGTAAGACATAGTGAAGAACTCTAACATAAAACACCAACCCTAGAGATCTTTTCACAGGGGAGTATCAAGATACTGTGTATACATGCTGAAATTAAGGTAACGTAGAATAATAGGGAAATAAACCAGCGCAACAAAATAGAGATTCCAGAAACCAATCCAAGGAAAGATGAGCTTTTCCATGGGACTGTGAGAAAAGGTGGAGTTTTCAATAGTGCAGTGGGGAAGGGTGGACTTTCTATGGTGCAGTGGGGAAGGGTGGACTTTCTATGGTGCAGTGGGGAAGGGTGGACTTTCTATAGCGCAGTGGGGAAGGGTGGACTTTCTATAGTGCAGTGGGGAAGAGGACTTTCTATGGTGCAGTGGGGAAGGGTGGACTTTCTATGGTGCAGTGGGGAAGGGTGGACTTTCTATAGTGCAGTGGGGAAGGGTGGACTTTCTATAGTGCAGTGGGGAAGGGTGGACTTTCTATAGTGCAGTGGGGAAGGGTGGACTTTCTATGGTGCAGTGGGGAAGGGTGGACTTTCTATGGTGCAGTGGGGAAGGGTGGACTTTCTATAGTGCAGTGGGGAAGGGTGGACTTTCTATGGTGCAGTGGGGAAGGGTGGACTTTCTATGGTGCAGTGGGGAAGGGTGGGGCTTTTCCAGATGAGATAATTGGCTGGTTGGGTGTCCACATGGAACAGTAATATTTATCATGTATTATAGTATACATTAAATTCTTTTGGTACACTGTAGAGCTACATGTAGAATCCATAAAAGTAAAACTTACACGAATTGGCATAAGTAAATACCTTTCTGATCTTTGTGCCTTCTTAAACAGGTCACGGAAGTCAATAGCCATAAGAAAAACTGATTCCTTCCACTACACTATGACTCTGATTCATATTCACCGGAACACGCTTTTAAGAGAAAGAAAGCACCGAGTGGGAGAAGATGGCTGTGAGACAGAGGACCCGGGTCCACACTTGTAAAGAACTCTCCCGAGGGCAGCAAGATGGCGCCAGGGTAAAAGGGCCTGCCACGAGAGCCCAGTGACCCGAGTTCCTTCCCGGAACCCTCGGTGGAAGGAGAGAACTGATTTCCAAAAGTTGTCCTCTGCCCTCTACACCTGTGCTATGTACGGCACGAGCCTTTTACATCAGTTCCGGGGGTCAAACTCCGGCCCTCATAGTTTCGAGGACAGCACGTTACTGACTGAGCTGTCTCCCTACCCCGTATGGGAGACCCTTCACAGCCATCCGGATCCCCCAGGCTGTGTGTGTCCTGTGCTCGCTGAATTCCTGACTAGGCTGCGCTTCGTCACCGCGTGTCTCTTGGAAAGGCTGGTCCTTGTGGTTTTCTTACCTTCTGTTTGGTCATGTCTAAGAGGCCCACCGAGTATCTGTCACAGTTCAGGAAAGCTCGGACCGTGTACAGGGCTTTGTGGAACTGTCTCTCTATGTCCGTGAGCTCTTCGAAGACCTTGCTCCCAGACCACAGCAATATCTGAAGACATTTGAAACACTAATCAGAGTTTTTGAAGCACAAAGTAGAGGTTTCTGAGATAGGAAATAACAATTCTGCAAAGTTTTCTAGTTTATTCCATTTAACTCTCACAATAACCTAGAGAAACAGGTTCACTCGCCCCATTTTACAGGTGGAAAGACTGAGGCATCAGGTCTAACTCTTTCCATTTATTTTATCTCATATGTTATTAATAAAATATATTAAGCACAGGGTTTAAGGATGCAGGTCAGTAATACAAGTCTTGAGTTCAATCCCCATCACCGCAAAAACCATACAATAATAATAAGCAGTTGAGTATAAGTACCCTACATAGGTTATCTTATTTATTTTGATAACACACTCTTTTGAGAATGATACATATATAATTATCCCCATGTTTTGTTTGTTTTCACAGGGTCTTGTGCAGCCCAGTCTCACCTCCAATTAGCTATGTCACTGAGGCTAATCTTGAATTCCTCATCCTCCTGCCTCCACCTCCTGAGCACTGCGATAACAAGACTGCACCACCATGCCCATCTTACATATCCACATGATTAGAGAGGCTTAGCAACTCGTTTAAGGTCTGGCAGCTCGTTAGTGAGCAAGCATTCCCATCCAAGCATAACCACGCTAGGATACAACTTCACACGCATTCTTCACCCCGATACAGGGAGCTCCCACTAGACGCAGCTCAGTAGTTCCCAGGACCTTCACACCAGCTGCCCTGACCACATCAACACTTAAGGACGTGCTCAGGCCACTCACCTGGCCACGCCGAGTCTCACAGTTGTGCAGGTAACTCAGATGGAATACCTTCATGATCAGATTCACAAAATTGAGGTACTTGAGAAGAATCTACAAATTCAAACGGCAGATGAAACAGAGAAATCCTTCCTCGGGCTACTTCTGCCACCGGCAAGCAAATGTCCGACCACCATCAGAACTCACACGGAGGCAGTTTGCACAGATGAACCATACACGGCTCCGTGAATGGAAACTCATCATGCTTGTTGATTTATTCATGAGAGTGTATTCATAAAAGTGTATTGAACTTGGTGCCCCTGGGTTAAGTCACTGTTGTGTGTTACCTGGTCATTACAAGTCACTATGAGGGAGATACTGTGAAATCGTCCCCACTTTCCAAATAAAAAAACAGATTCAGAGAAGATAAGTGATTTATCCAAATAAAACAAGAAGATTTTGAAAGATCCGGAATAAACACCTCTCATTCCTAACTCCAAAATCCAATGTTTGGATTGTTATGTTCCCCTGCCTCCCACAGAGATTAGTAGGTGAACCCAGCCTGCTCTCTCTTTTAGTTTCCAAGACGGGGTCTACTTGATCTATAGCACACAATGCCCTAGAACTCATTATACAGCCCAGGCTATACAATTATAATTACACCAGACTTGTGACAATACTCCTGCCACAGCTTCTCAAATACTGGCACTACAGGCATGGGCTGCCATACTTGGCTTGTTCTTTTGCCTTATGTATGGGGAAACTAACGCCAAGCCAATTGGCAAGGTTGGGGGATTCTGTGAGCAAGAGGGATGGACTAGCATGGTATCCTCAGCAGCATCTCAAGCAGTCTTACCTCTTCGTCTCTCTTGGTGAAGTGGGGTTCGTCCACTTTGTTCACAGCCATGATGATGGCTACCACATCCTTCCCATTCATGATGGGGGAAGCCAGGATGCTCTTGGTCTGATACTCGGTGAGGTCGTCCACAAAGTCACAGAAATGCTCATCCTGGAAGAAGGCAGGGGCCAGCACAGGGAGGCAAATGAGTACAAGGATGGGAGAGCATCTCAGAGCCCCTGCTGACAAGGGGGTGGAGGCATTCATCGGTTCCCCTCTGGCAAGGGCAGGACGACCCGAGGAGATCATGGAGACCTCCAACATCCATCAAGAGAAGAAGGCCTGAGAGGTAGCCCCCCAAGGGCCACGGAGGACAAACACTTCCTGGCAGCAAAGCTCAAGGTGGAAACTTAAGCAGAAACTGTGAGGGAGTTAGGGGCGTGACCATGATGACCGCCAGTGGGCACTGCACATGGCGTTTCATCTCATCCTTTCATCTCCATCCTCCCAACAGCCTAAGGGAGAGGGACCACCAGCCCTTCTCACAAAGTTAACATGACTTGGGGGCATTTGGAGCCTGTCCTCAGCTCAGCCCTGCTCACATAAGCCCCAGTGAAGTTACTCTTGGGTCCACTCATTGAACAAAAGGCTTCGTTATTTTCAGCCCCCATCCCTGCCCCATCTTTTCTTTTATTTACTTGGACACAGTTTCACTATACAGTCCGTGCCAACCTTGAACACTCAATCCTCCCGCTTCAGCCTCCCCACAAGTGCTGGAATCATAGGCATGTATTTTCACCTTTTATAACAAGCTGGTTACAGAGTACATGGCTGTTTCAATGACCATCCCCATCCAACAAATCTCTGTGAAAGCTCTGTTACATGTCAGCCCTTTACCAAGTAGCTAAGACTCAAGCTCCTCACAGATGAATCACTAACCGTAATTTTGACTATCATCTTGATTGGGTTGAGAAGTTCCTAGGAGACTAGTGAAGCAAACCTCTGGGCATCTGGGAGGGCCCTTCCAGAGAGGATCACTAAAGATCACTAAAGGTGGTGGCATCATCCCATAGGCTGGTGCACCAGCTAGAGTAAGCAGAGGAAAGCCATCTGGGACATTCTCTTCCTCTGCTCAACAGCCGCCATATGAACTGCCCTGTCCCTTTACACTTTCCCCATGATGGATTCCTAGCCCCAAACCATGAGCCAAAGCAATCTTTCTTTCCTTCAAGTAAAAACATTATTTATTATTATCATGGGAGAGGCATGATGTTTATAGTGAGAGACACATGCTGGTGCTTGTGTGGTGATCAGAAGAGCTCTGTGGAGTAATTTCTCTTTCTACCTTTACATGGGTTCTGGGGATCAAACTCGAGTTGCCACTGAACCATCCCAGTGGCCTCCTTCTGTTGCTTCTGTGGGGTATTTGGTCTCGGTAGGACAGAAGAAGGTAATACAGTAACGCAGGCCCTAAGGGCTTGCCTGAAAACTGTAGGGTGCAGAGGTCCACACACCCTGACTCCCAACCCCCACAGGCAGCCTGGCAGGGCTTTAGAGGCACTGATTGATACAGGCTACATGGCCAGGAAGAGGGGACAGAGGCTGGATTGTCTAGAGTCAGGAGAATCCACCTTTCTTTCTCTGTCACCGTGGTAAATTTCCTGACTGCCACGTCCCACGGGACATGAGCCAGCACAAACATGTACTGTGCATGCTGCTCTGAAAAGGGCGATTCATCCGCACAGCCAATCCACGGAACTTCTCTAGCGCTGAGGCGGCAGAATTTCCCCGACAGCTCCTGTCCCTGGTGTGATGCTCTGTATGTCGGGATTTCTCTCCAGAGGGAGTGAGATTAAACAAACAGGCAGCAGCGTCAGGTCAGTGACATGGGCTCAACCAGGTGAAGGGTAAAGGAATTAGGATAAGCCAGTCACGCTCTACTTGAATTAGCGGTTGAGGATTAGAGAAAACTGGAGGACAGTGGCAGCCAAGGAGGGTGTTCTGAGTCATTCTCGGAGGGCACGGCTGAGTGCCTGAGCACAGCCCAAGGCCAAGCATGCTCAGATTCACTTCAGCTAGTTCAGCTTTGCACTTTTTACCTTCATCCAGGGAAGCCAGTACTTGGGCCTCATCTGCCTCCGAGGCAGACGTCTCTAAATCTACCAGCGCCCTCTTTTCCAGTGTAGTAGGCCCTTTTCTCAGTGCTGTGTTCAAATGCCTGACAAATGCAACTTTAGGGAGAAAGGGCTTATTTTGGCTCCCAGTTTGAGGGGATACAGTCTACCCTGTCTAGGAAGGTGTGTTGACAGAAGCATGAGACAACCAATCACATTGCAACGAGCAGTGAGGAGCAAAGGATGATGATATTCTGTTTGCTTTCTCCCTTTTATACTGTCTGGAACCTCAGCCCAGGGAAATGTTAGGATTGCTCTTCCCACCGCAATTAATCTGACCACAATACTCCCTCACCGACAGGCCCAGAGGACTGTCTCTGAGGTGGGTCAAGATCCAAGTTGACCCTGTTAACCATCACACACACTGAGTTCTCAGCCAAGGAACTCCTCACAAACACCCCAGCCCCCAAACGACTGGAGTCTACCCCAACATTGCCACCCCTGAAGCCATACCATAATAAATACCCCCCAAACAATCACATCATAGGACCTCAGTGGACCAGAAGCAGAAGATGTTGGAGGCATTTCTACTCAAACCATTTAGTCTAATGTTTTCTTTTGCGCGCGCACGCGCTCGCGCGCGCGTGTGTGTGTGTGTGTGTGTGTGTGTGTGTGTGTGTGTGTGTGTGTGTGTGTGTGTGTTGTGTGCATAGGATTGAGGTAGAGGCCGGAGAAGGAATTTGCCTTGATCCCTTCAGACAGGTCCCCTATGAGAACATGCAGCTGGTCAGTTTGGCGAGGCTGGCCGGCCACTGAGTGCTAGGGATCTGCCTCTCTCTGTCCTCCCAGTACTGAGGTTGTAGGCACAGAGAGCCAGACCTGACTGGTGTGTGTGTGTGTGTGTGTGTGTGTGTGTGTGTGTGTGTGTGTGTGTGTGTGTGTGTGTGTAGTGGGGATTTGAACTCAAGGCTTCAGGTTTGTTCAGCAAGCTCTCTCACCCACTGAACCATCTCCCCAGCCCCAAACCATTGACTTTAAAGCCCAGGCACAAGAGACATGGCCAAGGAAAGCCCAGCGTCATCATCCGTTTACTCAGGATTGACAGAATGCTTTCTGTGTGCGGTACTGCTGTGAACCCTGGGGCTACGGCAGAGAACAAGAGACGTCTGTCCCGGGAAAACATCCAGCTAAATGGAGGAGACGGAAAAATAATAAATAAATAAATAAGAAAATGATTCGGCATTCTCCCTGCAGCCTGAGATGTTCTGCTCTGAAGGAAATAAACCAGAAATACTTTAACAGAGAGGGGAGGGACGGCAGAGTGAAGCTGCTTGGGTTTGAACGGGAGTCTGGAAGCCTCTTCTGGAGACACAACGCTGAGCTTGGAGCCCAAGGCAGAGGGAGCACACTCATTCCAAGGAGAGGCACAGTGACTACCAAGTCCAGGAGGTGGGAATGGGTTTGGCAGACTTGAAGAAAAGAAAGATCTGTGCATCGGAAGCATCGAGGGGGAGGGGAAGAGTGGGAGGGGTGAGCCTCAGTATGCATTTATTCATTTGTTTATTGTGCAGCGGAGTTTCCACATACCTGCAGCTGGCTTATAACTCACTGCGTAGCCCCATGTAGCTTCAAACCCACCATCTTCCCATCTTAGCCTCCTGAGTGCTGGGATTTCAGGTATACACCACCACATCTAGATGTAAAGTGCAATGCAATTCTGCTTCTCATTCCCTGTTCCTCACTTCTTCTTTTCAAACACTCACAGTATTGATTCTGTCGGACACACGGTGGGATCCGTTACTTACTGAATAATAAGGATGTGCTAGGCTCAGAGCCGGATGACTTACATATATTATCGAATTCACTCACATCAGCCCTGACAAGCAGCGCTGCTACAGAGCTGTCCCTTCTCATTCACCGACAAGTCCCTTGCTGGTGAGTAGCGCGGCTGATCGACCCATTCACTAGTTGTAGATTTATTAACTGATGAATTGGTTGATTCATTCATTCATTTGGATTTATTGAGCCTTGGCTCTGTGTCAGGCACTGGATATGTCAAGACCTGTGGGGAATTATCTTTATTGCTCATTAAGATGGGAAGACCTGTCCACTGTGGGTGGTACTCTTCCCTGGCTGGGATCCCGTACTGTGTAAATAGAGAGCGAGCAAACACCCATTACCCATTTGCTTCGTGACTGTGAATGTGTTGTGACCAGCTGCTTCCAACTCCTTCTGCCTTGACCTCCCTTGAACTGTGAGAGAGCACAAACCCTCTCTCCTCAGGTCGCTCTTGTGTCTTGTCACAGCAGCAGGAAAAGGAGCTAAGACAACCGGTAACACGAGGTGCTTACAGCATGATGGGATAGCATGTTAAACACAAACATCCAGTTCAAACCACACTGTGAGTCTGTACCTGACCATGGGCTGGGCCCCAATGACGGAGAAGCTTGCCGGTAAATGGCTTCAGTGGCTACTTAGTACACTGCCTAGGTTTCCCCTGCAGTGACATCAGAGTGATGGCTGAGGTTTTTCTCCTGCCTAGGGGGCCAAGTTCTGAGTCTCCAGAAAGGAGAGAACAGAGGCAGACTACAGGGGCTCTGTTCTCTCAGACTACTGAGAGGCTCCAGGGGACAGTTCTCTCAGCTCTGACAGTCCTTCCAGGCCCAGCAGTCACAGGTTCAGCCTTCAGAAATGGAATTGCTTGGTGCTAAAGAAGGGCTGCCCCTTATTCGTTCACTCAGTGAGTATTCCACTCTACCCCAGGCACAAGGTGTCAGGGACAAGCAGTAAAGCAGAGAGATGGGGACATACACCTCATAGGCTGGGAGACTTCAATACCCCACTCTCACCAACAGACAGGTCATCCAGATAATAACTAAACAGAGAAATACTAGAGCTAATGGACATAATAAATCAAATGGACCTAACAGATATTTACAGAATGTTTCACCCGAACACAAAAGAACGTGCCTGCTTCTCTGCACCTTATGGAACTTTCTCCAAAACTGACCACATACTGGGCCACAAGGCAAGTCTCAACAGTTACAAGAAAATTGAAAAAACCCTCTGCGTCCTACCCAACCCCTACAGATTAATGCTGGATATCAACAACAACAGAAACAGGATGCCAAGTTAAATCCGAATTTCAAGTAGATGGTAATTATGTTTAGTTGCAGCATATCTTAAATACTTCATGGGACATACTTACTCTAAAACACTACTCTTTGTTTATTTAAAATCCACACTTAGCTGATCACCTTCCATTTTCCTTGGCAATGCCGATCTCAAGGCTTTTAAGAATAAGAGCAGAGGGTGAGCGGGGAGCTGCCAGGGGTGCAGAAGCGTGGGAGAGCCCCGGAAAGCTTAGTTTGTAGTTTCACGTCCCAACAAAACAGTGATTGTCACCATTCCCAGACTCTTTAGGACAATGAAGGCTCAAACTCGAACTTTACAGAGGTTTAGAGGCAGCTCGGACCCCAGTCCACACCATCTTTCTTCTCCCTGGCCACTCAACTTCTAGTTACTGTTGGTAAGATCATGTCCGCGCCAGAGCCTGGAACTGAGTGAGACTTCTCAAGGAGAACAGCAGCAAACAGCATGCAAATGGCGAGCACTCAGGACTTCCTGGTCTTCACTGAGTCACTCACAGCCTGGGACACTGCCCCAGATTCAAAGGCTTCCACGGAAGGACGGGTGTGGCTGTGAGGGTGATCTTTCAGAGCTGAGCAGAAAATAACAGATCAGCCCTGAGCTGAGGCTCATCACACTGCTAGGCCTGGATCCTCTGGAATCAGAGGACCTTCTCAGATCCTCAATTCTACAACACCAAGGCCTACAAAGGGCTCGGCATTTCCAGAGACTAAAAAAATCTAAAAGGAAAACTCCAGAAAGGCAAGGTTAGAATATTCCAGAGCCCACATAGATGCGGTATGGATCTGTGACTTAGATCTTTACTAACAGTAATGGAGTTGAAATAAGGAACAAGAATTGCCCATGTAGGCCTGGTGCCAGGAGCCTGGGGAAATAGCTCAATGGGTAAAATACTTATCCTACAAGTCTGGGTCCAGAATTCAGAGCCCCAGAATCCATGTAAAAACTGGATAGGTGTGACAGCCTACCTGTAATCCCAGCATGTAGGAGGCAGAGACAGGGTACTACCAACGGTACATGAATTAAAAACTGAGCCTGAACTGGCTAAATGATTTGCTAAGGCTATGTTCTTAGGAAGTGACAAGATTAGCATTCAGCTCTGACCTCAAGGCATAAGGTCATAACTCCTGAAATATGATTGGAAATGATCTTTCTTGAATAACACTCCATCCCATGATCTTACTTCACAGATGAGAAGTGTGAGGCAGCAGAGGGTTAAGAGCATGGGTTTAAGGCCAGAGGACCCAAGTTTAAATTCCATCTGTACTTTACCCCTGTGTGGCCCTGAGCAAGAGTTTCCATGCTATAAGCACAAGATAGTGAGAACTATTACACAAGACTGTGTCTTCACAGTCTTTGACAGAATGTACTAAAGTTTGGGGGGAAGTGAAAAGAGACAAATTGCATCCAGCAAAACTCCTCCCCAAAGCCCTACTCCTTGATGCCAAGTGGGCACACAGGGAGACATTAACCCCGTGGCAGTCTGCCTAGTGTTTCCCACAGAGCTGGTCTCTGTAGCCCAGGCTGGCCTGAGACGTGACTCTGTAGTTCATGCTACCTTAGAACTCTCAATGATTCTCGAAACTGCTGGATTTTTAGGAAAACACCCAGGTAGTCACTGTTTGATGACCCCTTTGGATTCTTGTACTAGATTGGGCTTAATGCTTTGGTGACCTTGGGCAAGCCCCCTCTCAAGACCTCTGGATCCAGTTGGATGAGGCGTGTGTGTGTGTGTGTGTGTGTGTGTGTGTGTGTGTGTGTGTGTGTGTGTGTTACACTTATGTGTATTTGCATGTGAGGAGCAGAGGTCCCCCTTGGGTGCCATTCCTTAGATTGCTGTCCACCTTGTATTTTGAGACAGAGTCTCTCATTGGCCTAGAGTTCATTGATTTAACTAGGTTAGCTAGTCATCAAACCCCAGATTCTGCCCATCTTTATCTCCCCATCTCTGGGATTATAGGTATATGTCAGAGTGGTTGCTTTTTTAAAAAAATTTTTTAATGTGAATTCTAGCAGTTGAACTTTAGTTCTCTCTCATGGTTGCCCAGCAAGCACCTTGCTGACTGGGTTACTTTGCAGCCTCTCCTCTTCCCTTTTTAACCTTAAGACTATTTATCTGAAATAAATACAGAAGCAAGGTGAAGACAAAGTCACAAAATGTCCAGGAGACCAGGCATACAGCACATGGAGGCAAGAGAATCTCTGTGAGTTCAAGGCCGTCTTGGTCTACGAATCAAGTTCCAGGCCAGCCAGGGCTACACAGTAAGACCCTGCCTCAAAACAACCAAACAAATAAAAATGGCACAGAATGTCCCGGGGCTGGACCTTGGAAGTGGTTAAACTTGATATCTTAGCATGGCTGCTGTACTAGTAAATGAGGCCCATGGCATCTAGGGATTAGCTTTCTGTGGAGAGGATGGGAAATTACTGCAAAATTCCTATTCTTTAGGCTGTGTTTATTAACCATTTGCTTTATGCCTGACATTGTGCAGGATCTCAGGATAAATACCTAGTAAATAAGGTCCCTGATGCTAGAGCTTACCTTGTCACAGCACAAAAGAGTGGAAGGTTTGGGTTGGAGGGATGGGAGATTAGATAAGCCAAAATGGAAGGACATTTCTGTAAAATATTTGTGGGATTGTCTGATTTGACAAAAAATATTTCTTTAAATACACCAGCTTTCCAGAAAACAAAGACAAACCGAGGAGTGGTCTCAGAGGGGAGTGAACTGAAGAGACAGGGTTACATTAGTGTACGTGAGACACCTGGAAAACACTGAATATGAATGATTAGATGGTTGTGTTATATGGGTGTTGTGCTCCTCAAATTCCACCATTGTACTACGGATAAGGAAGAAATGTCTTGTTCTAGAAATACAGAATGAAGGCTGTATGGACCAAAGGGCATGCCTGAAACTTCCTTCTAGTAGGTCACAGAAAAAGAGAGACACAGATGTGACAAGATGTTATTAATTGGTGAATATGAATGAAAGGTACACAGTCCTTTGTAGTATTTCAAACTTCTGCTACTTTTGGATATTCTTTTTTTTTCTAAATAAAAATTTCTAAGTATTGTCAATAAATAGAGAGCAGTATCATGCCATGACTACCCCAGGCTTGGTGGCCAGCAACAACCCACCCAGCCCACTTGGACCCCTGAACCCCAGGGATCAGTGCATCCCCACAGTCTCTCTTGCAGGGAGAGCATACCTCTTCTGTGTTGGGGACATTGGCAATCTTTTTGGAGTGGGCGACATGGCCCACGACACCCATGTCCAGAGGGAAGACGATCTCGGAGTCAGGCATCACCAAGCAGTCCTCCAGGACAGCATCCTTGTGGACGTTGAAGAGCCTGGTGGCTAGCTCTGCAATGCCGTTGCGGGTCCTGTACATGAACAGACTCATGCGGTCAGCCCGCAGGAGGAAGCAGAGCTTCTTCATGACGTTGAAGGTGCATTTCTCAGCCTGCAAATTCTCCTGAAAGTCCCGCAGAAGGTCAAAGATGATTTCACTCTCCTCCACGCTATTCACAGTGTGGTAGTGGCTGAAGTCCACCGCTGCCTCCTTGGCCCCAAGGAGGTCTGAGATGACTCTCCCCCGGTAGTGAAAATTATAGTATTGTTTGGCAAAGCCAATGTTTGAGTCCAGGAACTTCTCTACCTCCTCGGCTGTCACCTCACCCATGGCTGGGACTCCCTCTAACTGCTCCCAAGGAGGGGTTCAGGCTCAGGCCGTTTCCCAGGCAAATGGAATTCAATGTGCCCTGCGGCAGTCTGGACTTCTCTGGATCTTGTCTGTAAATCTCACTGAGAAGGCCACACACAGGAGCAGGAGCAAGCTGAGGGATTAAGTCATTAATACTTCCTGAGAATAAGAGCTATGAGGATCAGCATGTTCCAGATGCCACTGGGCCCTGGGAGAGGGAACGGGAGTGACTCTTTTCACCCTGGTTTGATAAGAGCTCAGAGAAGACACTGAATTGCACAGCACTCGTGTGGAGGACGCCACAGGCAAGCTCGGGAGCAGCCTGCTCCCTACCTGTAAATGTGTCCTCTCTGCCCTCAGGGCTTTGTTGGTCTGTGACATCAATGCCTGACAATTACTATCTAGGATAATTTGGCTTCTTGGTCAACCAGAAGAGGTAACAAGTGTATCTACAGTCCTCCATGCGGGAAGGGCTAGAGCTCTGATACAGCCGCTGCAAGCCTCCCCGCCCATCCCTCCAACCCAAACCTTCCACTCCTTTGTGCTGTGACAAAATACCCTAACAAAGAGCAACTTAGGGGGAGAAGGATGTATTTAAGTTCACAGATTCAGGTTACAGTCCATCCCTTGTGGTGGGGGCGGGGGGGGGGGGGGAGGCGGTTGTCATAGCAGCAGGAGCTTGAGACAGCTGGTCACATCACATCCACAATCAAGGGCAGAGAGAGAACAAACGCACGCATGACCACTTGCTTGCTTGTACTCGGCTTGACTTGCCCATTCGTCTACAATTCAGAACCCCTGCCTAGGGAATAGTGTTGCCCAAAGTAGGCTGTCTTCTACATCAATTATCTTAATTAAGACAACCCTCAAAAGACAGACCCACAGCCAATCCAGTATAGACAATCCCTCATTGAGACAGTCTTTCCAGGTGGTTCTACGTTGTGTACATTTGACAGTTAAAGCTAACCGCCCCACAGTCACTCCCTCTTTCCATAACCCTCCCAAATGTGGGACTTCGGTTGCCATGGTTGTTACCAGGCTGCTTGTATCATCTACACAGGCATATTGTGGTCTAACCACCTCTTGGCCCTGATTTCATAATTTCTGCACACAAGGTTTTCTTGGGTTTGGATTCCAATGATGTTCTAATTTTAGTATGCTAAGGGCACTTGTAAAAAAGAAATAACGCGCCTTCCATAATACTTTTATTATAAAAATAATACATGCTTTCTGCAGAAAATAATGCAAAAGGACAGTCAAAAGCACACATGATCCTACTGCTCAGAGATATCCTCTGGTTGACATCTGGTCCTTTCAGAGAGGCTGACCTTTATAGTCTAGTTCCTTTCAACTTGATCTTTCCCCTGGTGCCTTGATGTGCTTTTTCTTTGGGTTGTTCATCAGAAATGCATGCCGCAGTCTGTGGGCTATCAACTCCAGAGAATCTAGAAACACCAGAATCCTCCTTGTTGTGCCTCCTCTGCACAAAAGGAGGTGGGAAAGAGCTCTCTCTCTGTGGACGAACCTTATTTTAGGTTCCACGGCAGCCCCATGCTGTGCACAGTGCCTTGTAAATACTTTTGGAATACACAGTTATGAACAGTTCCTGGCCCTTTGACCTTTGTAAGGGGACTTTACCGCAAACTGGATTACTTCCTTCGTTGTAAAGTGTAATAAATTCTCGGGGGCATTGCACCCTTTTAGTACTATGTACAAAGGTACCCCTCTCCACCCAATGGTAAGCCGTGACATCTGCACAGGCTAGCTTGGCAAAATTCTCAGTTCAGCACCTTTGTGAGTTTTATCTCTATCACCATGTGTGACAGCAATTCATTCATTCTTACTGCTCCTCAGCATTCTCTTGATGAGATAAACCAGTCACAATGTTTGTGTGTGTGTATATATAAAATATAAATATATATATTTAAAGGGGAGGAAGACAAGGCTGTCCTTACTCTGACAGTACATGTGACCACCTGAACTTCTCTAAAGCAGATGCCATAATCCACCTGAGCAGCCTGCTCACTCTTGCCCAGTTCTCCATAATCTGCAGACTATAAAGTTTTAGTATCACTCATCAGCTCTTGTTATCTTAGCCCAAGGAAGCACCACACCACCGTCTTCCGGTCCCTGCCTGTCATCCCATACTATTTCCTTTATTGTGTTTATCCCTTCCAGACATTGTCTTGGCTTTTCTCCCTTGTCCTTCTCCCTGCCTTCCCCCACTGGACTGGGAGCTTCGTGAGAGCAGGGACCTATCAGGATTTGCTCCTTAGGTCTTCTTCCAGGGCTGTCTGGCACATCCTTGGTGTTCAGCATTTTTTGTTTCAATTTATAAGTTTTACATGTTCTTGACTACTGAACTTTATAAAATATAGGAAGACAAAAAAGAAAATAAAATTTATTTTTTTGCATACTTAAAGTTTTTTAGAATGCTTTTGTAAACCAGACTGTAGCATGCTCTTTCCTTCTTTGCCGGATGCCTTGAATGCCTTTCAATGGTACTTCTCACTCACTCTAATGACCGCAGAGCATCCCTCTGTGTTGTGGCACCATCTTCCATAACAAGGGCTTCTCACCTTGGCCCCGGTGACATTTTGAGTACAGTAATTCTTCATTGTAGGAGGTTGTCCTATACACCGAAGATACTTATCCCAGTTTCCACCCACTGAATGTCAGAGAAGCCCCCTATAATTGTGACAATTAAGAATAATGTGGACATTTCCCCCATGGCCCCCTGAGAGGTAAATGAGTCTCCATAGTTAGATATTTGGGTTTTTTAAAAATATATTTATTTTTATTTTTGTTGATTGTGTGTGTCTGAATACATGTCTGCGCATGTGTGTGCTCATGCCCACAGAAGCCAGAAAAGGGTGTTGGATCCAATGGAGCTGGATCATGGTCAGTTGTGAACACCTGATATGGGTGCTGAGAATCGAACTCTGGTCCTCAACATGAGCAGCAAGCACTCTTAACTACTGAGTCATCTCTCCAGCCACTAGAGTTCAGTGTCTGATTTTTCTAGTATTACAAATGTTGTAGTCAATAGCCTTATATTTTTTAGTAATGATACCTGCAAGTAAAATCCCAGTCCCAAGAGATTGTAGATATCTAAGGATTTGAATAAATAATGACTTTTTTCCTAAGGCTATAGCCCAGCGAGTAAGAGGCTTTCCCACCCTCTACACCAGCCTGTTGCCTATTTACCTACTATAAATAGTTCTATAGAATCTGGCCCTAGTACTCATTCTAAAATCTTTTATTATATTTATTAATTTTGTGGGACAGTGGATGTGAGCATGCCATGGTGCATGTGTGGAGGTCAGAGGATAGTTTGCAGCAATCAGTTCTCTTCCTCCACCATGTGGGTCCTGGGGATTGAAATCGGGTCATCAGTCTTGGCTGGAAGTGCCTTTACCTGCTGAGCCATCTTGCTGGCCCCTGGTAGCCTTTCTTCCTTTGCTCTCCACAATTTCCATGCACATATTCTAAGATCCACTCTAGTGGTTTTCACCCATGTGAGGCTTCGCATTTTATTCTTGCTGCTCCCCGCCAAACCTGCCCAAGTGCCGCTGCCTCCATGATTGCACTTTGATGTCCCAATACATTACTTTCCTGTTTAGAACCCCCAAACACAATGATTTCTTTGTGTCATGCCTGCACATCTGCACTTTCATAAAGTTCAGTTCCCTGAGCACAGGAGTAAAATTCTACTCAATCAACCTGGCGATTATTTTCTTTTTGAAATGATCTTGGTGTCTTGTCCAGGTTGGTCTCTTTTTTTTTTTTTTTTTGGTTTTTCGAGACAGGGTTTCTCTGTGTAGTGTTGCGCCTTTCCTGGAACTCACTCTGTAGTCCAGGCTGGCCTCGAACTCACAGAGATCCGCCTGGCTCTGCCTCCCGAGTACTGGGATTAAAGGCGTGCGCCACCACCGCCCGGCCAGGTTGGTCTCTTAACTCCTGAGCTCAAGTGACTATCCTTAGCTTCCTGAGTACCTGGAACTACAGATGTGTGTTTTGACTTCAGACTAGGTCTAAAAGAGTGTCCCAAAGAGGTCATCCCAAGAACTTATCTATAGTGTGCCCACCAAGCTTAGTTCTGATTATGAATATCAGCCTTGTTTCATAAGATGATACACTTTTACGGCCTTTTTCAATGTGCCAGAATGAGGAAGGCAGGACTGTTGAAGAGCATGGTCTTCAGTGGTAGCATGAGGTGGTTCATACTTTAGGAGGTAGGGTCTTATAGGAGATACTTAGGTCATGGGGCCTCCACCCTGCTGAAAAGATAGTGTTGTTGCTAGAAGGATCCATTTCTGGGGCTAGTCAGCTGCTCTGAAGATGGGGTGTTATAAGCAAGACATTCAAGTCCTTTTCACACCACTCACCAACCACTCCCTCCAGTTCTCCATGAGACACTACCTAACGTGAGCCAAGCAAATGCCAACATAGTGTTTTAGCTCTCCAGGAATGTGATCTCAATAAACCTGTGTGTGCGGTGTGTGTATGATATGTGCATGTGTGTGCATGAGTGTATATGTCCATGCCTACACCTATGCAGGCCAAAAGTTAATGTTGGCTCTCTATCACTTTCCACTTTATTTTTTGTTTGTTTGTTTGAGATAGAGTCTCACTATGTAGCTCTGGTTGGCCTGGGACTTGCTTTGTAGACCAGGCTGGCCTTGAACTTACAGAGATCCTGCCTCTGGCTCTGAGTACTGAGGTTAAAGGCATGACACCATGGCCAGAAAAAAGACTTATTTGTTTATTTATTTAATGTGTATTTTTATGTGCCTAAACTTATGAATGTGTACCGTGTGTACAGGTGCCTGTAGAGACCAAAAGAAGGCAGAAGATCCCATGGAGCTGGAGTCACAGCAGTTGTGAGCTGTGTGGTGTGGGTGCTTGGAACTGTCTCCAGATCTTCTGTAAGAGCAGCAAATGCTCTTAACCACTAAGCTTTTCTCTCCAGACCCTCC